CAAGTCACCAGCAGAGAAGTGTCAAAGACGGAAGCTTTCATGGAAGACGGGGCGGGCGCTCATTGAAGGAGGGTATATTGCTGGTCAGTCTGGGCCCACGCGCCGTTCTTCAGCAAGCGGGCAAAGAGCATCTGACCCACCTTGTTGAAACTGCTGGCGTTGGCAAGCTCGGCTTGCGGCAAGCCAAAGGCCTGAAGCTTGGTACCCCACTGTCCGACGGACTTACACCTTGAAACCTGGGTCCACCACTCCGCGAAAGGAAGGGATGCGCCCTCGCTCATCGTGATCTCCTGGGCCAGCTGGGCCATGTTGGCGCGCGTGGCGCTGATCCCGAGCCGCTCCAGTGCGGAGCTGTGGGTAGCCGCGTTGATCATGGGGCTGAACAGCGGGGTGTCATCAGCAGGTCCCTCCTCAGCGGCCGTGGGTGCACGTGGTGGTATAGCTGAGGGTCCTGGGCCCAGCGGAGACTCCGTCTGTCGCAAAAGCCTTGGTGGGGTAAGGAGGGTCTCCCGATTCTGCTGCGGCATTCCCAACATGCGTTCCATCATCTCACGAGTCGCACGTGAGTCCTCGGCTGTCGAAGAAAGAGTAGAGGTAAGGGAGGAAATCTGCTGACCATGTTGATCAACTGTCGCCTGGATGTTGGTGATGCTGGCCTGCATCTGCTGGATCACTGGGTTGGACTCAAGGGAGTTTGCACCAGACGCTGCGCGAGAGCCTGATCCTGGCGCTGGAGTGCCCGACCCAACGAGGCTGTGCAAGCGCTCCACCGTCTGCTGGAGCCTGGTATCCCCTGGAGCGTTGGTCTGCAGGACATCAGTCAGCGCCCTGACCAGGTCCCTTGCAGGCTCAGCCGCGCCCGGTGCTGCCGCCGTACTCGAAGGCGTGGTCCAAGGCGATGGCGCGGGCGGCGCTGAGGCTGGGGGCGTAGAGCCGCTACCCTGAGGGTGGGGCTGCTGAGCCTGCGAGAGCGCGTGGCCCACCCGCGTGAGCTCACCCAGGGCAGCGATGTTGTCCATGACTGAGGTCATCTGGCCAAGCATACCCGCGAAGCCTTGACCGCCGCCACCGCCGCCACGATCATATCCCCCGTTCCGCTGCTGGGGACCGCTGTAGCGCGGGGCGTGTGGGCCACCATACGGACCACCCGCGCCCCCAGACTTGCCGCCCTTGCCGTTACCCTTGTTGCGCCACGAGCTGAACATCGGCACGGGTGAGGGCTGGGTCAAGCTCGAAGGTGCACTCAAGGGTGGACTCGATCCTTGGCTTGGGAGGCTTTGAGAGAAAAAGGCTACAAGCAACTCGGGTGATGTTCGCAGATTTCTGGAAGTGTAGAGCACGAGTTGAATCGCTGTCTGGCTTATCTCCATGAACTTAGAAGGTGGCGCTATAGAATGCCAAATCCTTCGAATATGCTTCTCATGGTAACCCAACCGAAGATACATCAAACCATCAGTAGACACCAAGACCACCCAGTTGAACGCACACACTTTTAAGTTTCTCCAGCGTTGCAGACGTCCGCGCAGTTCGGCTCGGTGCTGTTGGAGTTGACTAGGAGTGAACGAGCCTAGAAACGGAAGGATAGACTGCTTAGCGAGGGGCGTGATGTTGCCTGTGAACGCATACGCCTCGTTCTTGTGTGTGCTATACGTATGGGCCGCAGTGAGGGTAAGGAAAAAGGTGGCCTCGAGGTACGGAACTGTGACCGTGCGTGCATTAGGACATGAGGAGTCGGTGAAATCGAACTTCACCGTGCAGCCATAAACATGATGGACCATACGTTTAAGAAACCTACTGCAGCACACCTTGGACGCTAGTATTATGTCATCCACATACCTGCCTGTAGCCACATACCGACGACGCCTGGGGAACTTCTTGTCAGCCTGGAATTCCAGATCACTCCGTACCGTGTGCAAAACGGCCCCGCTGAGGGGGCCTCCGATCGGGACGCCCCGAACTTGTTGAACGACGAGGCCACAGATAACAAACAACCTCATCCCTAGGAAGCCCTCAAGAGCCCGACGGATACTTTTAAGAAACCACACAGTACGCTCCCACAGGCGCCGATCCGCTCCACCACCGAAGAAGACGTGAGATCGCTGAGTACGCATGACCGTAACACAGCGTTGCTTTTTTCTCCGACTCCAGCTGGTCGAACAAGCGGTCAAGGCAATCGTAAATGCGGTCGAGGGCGATGGCTTCGTAGGCCTGGCCCGCATCCCCGACCACTAGACCTGGGCTGAGCATGCAGCGGCCACATCCTCGGCAGCAGCACGGTTCGCCCAACGGGTGGGAAGTCAGCTGAGTGAACTGCGCCACGAAGCTGGGCACTGCCGTGTCTAAAGATGTAAGGTTCGCCAGGAAGGTGAGAGCACGGCTGAGGGAGCGATGCAACATGCGGGATGGAAGGCGGACAAAGCTGCATATGTTACGAAAACAACTGTGTTGAGGTTTTGTACACTTATGACGCCCTCCATCGGGTACCGAAGCCCCTCCATCCCAGCACTTCAACTTAATCGTACTGTAAACGTAGGGAAGATGTCCTTGGTTAAGTGCCCCCTCCCCACGTGCACGCATAGACTTGGGGATGGTGTAGTCATAGAGCAGGCGATGCCAGGATAGCATAGCATCAACCGGCGTATTAACCACACGCCAACGATCATGGGCATGACGAAGCATACAAAGCCACCGAGCTAGCTGGTATAAGTTGTTGATCCGCCAAACAGTGTTTGGGTCCTTGTCTTCAACCGTAAAGCATGTCCCGCATGGGCCTCCAGAGGCTCGGTCCTCAAATTGTTTGCGAGCCTCCGTTAAGTCACGATAGCGTCGTTCGTCATGGGTGGGTTGCGGAGTGGGGCGTTGACGAGGGGGGCGATACGGCGGGTAGACGTTCCGATCCAGGCCCTGGGAACCAAGCCAGCGTTTACATGATAACATAGTAGCGTCACGATATGGGGTAGACTGTGCGAGTAAAGGTATGCGACCGTGCAGAGGGACTCGCTGCATATCATCACCACGAGCGGCAGCGGCAAAGTCCGACATGCTGAGGCGACCGAGTTCCGTGAACTCAGTCTGGCGAAAGGCTCGCGTGATGTCAGTAAAACGCTTGCGTATTGTGAGCACAGGGCGAGGCCTCAAACGTATAGAGCGGACCGCCCAGTTGGCCCAAGCTGGCCTGGTTGGGCGGGCCTGCTGGATGACCAGAGCCAGCCAATGCCGAACACGTTGGGCCTCCCAAGCGTCATCAACTTTACTAATATGTTCACCTGGCTTGGGAAGACCAACTGAATGCAAGCGCGAAGCAAGTGCAGACCTTACTCGAATTCGGTCCATCCAGTGGGGAAACAGGGCACTGAACTCCCACAAGGTATAGAGGTAGTCTGTGCCGAACTTACGCCGTCGACACGCGAGGTCCCAATCGACTTCGTTGGTGGATAAAGCAAGCCATCTAAGGAGTAGGAGCAAACATGCTTGGTCATATATGTTAAGTGGTCCGTGCAGACGGCGGCCGTTAGCATGCCAAGCGAGGAGGATAGCATAAATATCATGAAATCTATGCTGGAGAAGGTGTTGCCGTCGGTGTCGTGCAGCGAGGTGTGCCGAAAAACCTAAACGTCGTGTACGCTGGGCATCGATACATCGATCATACCATGCTTGTTGGAGTACTGTGTGCTCATGTGCGACGGGTGCATGCATGCGGCGTTGCGCACGACGGCGGCGCGCTCGAGGGTGAGATCGATATCGAGCCCGAAAACGTTCAAGCTGAGGGTTAGGTAAGTTGTTCGCCTCAGGACGGCTGTACGCTATATGCGCGCTCTCTAGGGCATGCGCACGAGATGTATGTGTAAGCGCCGCAAAGAACATGAGGAGCCACCGCTGACACCCAGGGGCCAACCTGAGGTACCTGCTGAGCTCCGTTGTGGGGATCCCTTGCGAGACACATCTAAGCCCACGAAGATGCTCACGGAATCGACCGACTCCTCCCGAGATGGCCGATGAGCCACGGAGCAGCGCCCCTTGACCTATGTAGAGCCCTTGGGAGCCCAGTTGGTATATGAAGCAGAGGTCGCGGGGCCCGTGGCCCACACTCTGGATCGGGTCCTGGATGCACCGAGCCTGGAGGAAGACGAAACCGAATAGCTCCACAGCCTGACAAAGGTCCGCTTCTCCTGGGCGTCCGAACGCAGACTGCAACACAGGTGGAAGACAATGGCAGAGGCGTCTGGCCCGGTCCCGTGCTTTTCGGCCTCCAGTAAAGAGGCTGCGGTTTCGACATATAGTCAAGCACGTTGTGAGAGCAAGCGCGAGTACACCAACATGAGACGACGCACCTGAGACCGTCGCACACTCCAGAGCTTCCCGTTGCAGGGTGTGGACGGCTTCAATGAACACCCCCGACGGAAGAGGACAAAGGGCCTGCCACAGAGCTGCCGAAAATAAGGAGGCCACGGAGGACGAGTATGGCGTATGCGAGCGAAAGTTAGCATGGACGGCCAGCTCCGATGACCATCCTGCAACGGCCTGGATGTCCCGTGTCAGCGCAGACAATAGTTTTGTCCCAACAAGGGTAGTAACTCGCGTCCGTTGAGCCATATGCTGAGATATCCGTCGATCTGATCTCGACTGCAAAGTACCTGATGCTTGCGCCGAGGTAAAACATAGGAAGGGAAGAACGCGCCACCACAGGCCAGCCCGCCACAGGGTAAGTGTACAGAGACGACGCGGCGACTGAACCTGGCTATGCCTCGAGGAGCAGTAACCCAGGGTTTGCGTTCTAACGCCAGACGTTCTGACACTGGTCCGTGGAGTAGGCGGTAGGCGATGTGGCGACGGAGCCTGGGGCAGCCTCGAGGAGCAGCTGTCCAGGATTTGCGTTCTAACTCCATGCGTTCTGACACCCGTCCGTGACGTAGACGTGAGACGGCGCGGCGACGGAGCCTGGGGCGGCTCCGAGGAGCAGCCGCCCAGGACTTGCGTTCTAACACCTTGCGTTCTAACACCTCCAGTGAGGTGCATGGCCGCGCCAGGGCCGTTGAGCTCGTAGAGTGCGAAGTGAACCACGGATGTTATGAAATTGGCCACGTAGCGTATGACATGAACCACGCAGGTGGTGACATGCAACACGTAGGATACGAAATTGAGCACGTAGAGCGTGAAATGAACCGCGTAGATGGTGAAATGCAACACGTAGATGGTGAAATTGAGCACGTAGAGCAGGAAATGAACCACGCAGGTGTGGAAATGCAAAACGTGGGTTATGAAATGAAACACGTAGGTTATGAAATGAAACACGTAGGTCGTGAAATCAACCGAGATGAACTAAGCTGAGACACGTAGATTATGGATGTCTGGGCGTGGTGCGCGAAGTCCGAAGATGAACGCTCCACGCTCCCAGAAACACACTTGTGATGAGTTACTTTCGAAATCACGTATTGATCAAGTTACTTGTCGTCGTCCCTTCCTCCAGCGATGGCAGTCAGCAAAGGTCGACGAGCGTTTTCCTCGGGCAATCGTGCGAACTGTGCCTGCGGTGACGGAGGACCGAGAATCTCTGCGGGTCTGAGGCCTTGAGCGGCGCCCTGAACCCTCCGTCAACGGAGGGTCGAGAAGAAAACGTTCTGGTGCGTGTGAGGCGGCCTGAGAGGGCAACTAAATAAAGCATGCATGAAGACAACCTGAAATCTAGCTACGCACATACTGCATGTGTGGCTGGCCCCAAGACATCCCCTAGCTCGCACGAGCCGAAAATGATGTCTCCATTGATTGTCAGAATTGAAACGCACGCACACACACACACGCACACACGCACACACGCACACACGCACACACGCACGCACGCACGCACGCACGCACGCACGCACGCAAATACGCACGCACGCGCACGCGCACGCGCACGCGCACCCGCACGCGCACACGCACACGCACACGCACGCGCACACGCACACGCACACGCACATGCACACATACATCCACACACGCGCACGCGCAAGCTCACACTCACGCGCACGCGCACGCGCACGCGCACGCGCACGTGCACGCGCATGCACACGCACACGCACACACACCCACACACACAAACACGCGCACGCACACAACCATTCACACACAAACACACACATAGACACATTCACACACACACACACACACGGACGGCGCGCAGGACAGTGGCAGGTTCGGCGCTGCCCTTGCGCATGCATATGCATGGCGCGGGCAGTGCGGCGGCGGTTCGGGAGAGAGCGCTGCTCCTCTGCACCAATATCCGAGCACGGGCCACCTCTCGGTGGCCTCCGTAGGGGCTGACACAAATATCAAGACGGGCGGTGTGTCTTCACCGAGGGAAGGCGTTCCCGATCTCGGATATGGTGGCAATCTTCGGGCTTGCGGAGTGGCTGGACTACGAAACCACCCGCACCAACATCTGGGACCTCATCCTTCTCCGGTGGAAGCAGCCCCCTGTGATTTGGTGTTGGTGCCCACTTACAGGCCTCCAGCTCTCGGGAATCGGCCAGGGAGGTGCCGGGAGCGGGTGGAGCAGGAGGAGGAAGGGGGGGAGGAGGAGGAGGAGGAGGAGGAGGAGGAGGAGGAGGAGGAGGAGGAGGAGGAGGAGGAGGAG